GGTGTATGTCCAAGGGTGCGCTTGAAGGGGTGTCTTCCTAGGGGGGCGGTGCGCAGAGCGCTTAGGCACGGGGCGATCTGGGGGTGAAGTGAGGGAAACTGATGTCTATCACCTTAATCCAGGCGATAGTTTCCTCTCCATAAGGCATCCTTGCCGCCTGTGACCTGATCCGATCTTACACAGGCAGTGCCCAGTGGGCGTGGGCACTCTCTGTCCCATGGAACAGGAAGGGCCCGTGAGGGACACTGTGTGGCCTGGGACGCAGGATCACTTTTAGGCGCGAGCCCAAGGATTCCACACACACACCTCTTCACTGTAACCTGCCCTGCTCCTGCTGGACTCTGCCTTGTCTGGGACCAGCACTCTCGGGAGCGCGCGCGAACAAGCGCCAGGGAAATGCTCCAGAGGTTCAGGAAGAGGGTGTCCTCACGGGGCTCCAGCCTCTTCCCCTTTCCCCGTCTCCCTGGTGGTCAGGTCCCAGGCCTCCGGAGGTCGCTCCCCACAGGAACCCCACGGGTGGACCCGGCTCCCTCAACCAGCGCCAGCCCCCAGGGCCACAGGAGCTCCCAGTAGGAGCTGGAGCAGCTGAGCTGAGAACATGGCTGCCGCCGAGGCCACGCCCCTCAGCCCAGGGCAGCCCAGGCGCCCAGCTGGGCAGTACCGCTGCTTCCAGAGCCCACCCTGTGGCTTCCTTGGCCACTGTGCAGGTGTGCCAGCCACCCAGACCCTTCCCACAATGCTCTGTGGTCCCCAGACCCAGCCCGCATGGCGATCGCCATAGGCCTTCCCCAGCGGATCCCCAGGCGCCTGCTGCTGCGACTGGAATAGGATTCCGCTGGATGGCACTGTGGCTCCACAGATCCATCCTCCCAGGAGCCTGGCCTCTCCCTCCGCCCTTTGTGGATCAAAAAAAGTGCAAGGAGGCGCCAGAGCCTTACAAGTCTACCCAGCCCCTTTGCCTGTCTTGGGGTGTTGGGGAGCATTTGGGGTCTTGTCCCCAGCAGGATGGGGCCTGGAAAGGCCACCAAAGCAGTTCTGGCATCTCGCATCTCTCTGGGCCATCGAATTCCCCCACCCACGGAGCTGGAACCGCGTTCTCTCTGCCCACTAGTGAACGGTATCTTCAGGGGTCTTCTCAGGGTTTCCTCAGCGGTCTTCTCCGAACTTGCCCCAGCGCTCCAGTCCCATGCGACATGGAGTCACAGTTCGCTCTGGGCAGAGGAATCTGGAGGTCCCCTGTTCTCCTAGCACCCTGGCCTGTCTTCTGCTCTCCTCAGGTGACCTCGATCGGCTTTCAGGGCTCAGGGGGCCGGCTCCTGCCCACATCCAGGGGTTTCGCGTGGTCAGGCCAACCTTGGCACAGCACTTTAATTATCGCGTGCAACGCGAAATCCAATGGACCCGCAGACAGCTGAGGCACAAGGTCTCCCTGACGTTCATTTGTTCAGTAGCCCTTTCAGGAAAGTTCACTTGGCAGTGTGTGTACTCTTCCCAATCGCCCTCAGAGTGGCCAACTGGGTGAGCCCTGGCCTGTGGTTCAGATATGATACCTGTGTCTCTTTTTTTCTGGTAGCAAAGGGCGGAGGGAGTATAAGGGGATGGTGCCAGGAAAGGCGAGATTCACATCAGCGGTACCTTACTGCCATCAAGTGGTCTCACTTTGCTCCTCGCCTACCCTAGAAGGTCCTTTGCAGCCAAGGAGACTAACAGGGGCATGAAGACATGCACAGGGTCTATGGGTCTGGGTCCCGGAGGTGAACAGGTTGGCCAGGTGCTGGCCGGGCCAAGGAAGCTATAGAGACGGGCTTCTGACCACAAGGCATAGGGCTCTGGGGCGCCT